GAAATTTATCTCTATCCGATAACCGAATTCACTGACATGGTATGGCCTTATTTATGAGACTCCCAAGAGAGTTACCGTTCTTAGAAGTTTTAAAATGGTCGTTTTTACGACATGTCGGGTCTATCTGCACGTACACCCTAGGCGTGTGGGCACGGTGCTAGGAACAGGCGGACCGTGGAAAGTGTCGCAGAGAGTGCGGCCCGGGGCAGAGCGTTGTGCAACACAAGGCTTTGATCGGGGGCGGGGACAGGCCCAATGTGTTGGCCTACACACTAATAAATTAGCACCACGGTCGATTGATCTTATGGTTGAAGATTAAGAAACGTACATCATATGAAAGGTTCTCAATATTTTTGTTTTTAGTCTCTTCTAGGGGGTTCTCAATATTTTTGTGTGTAGTCTCTTCTATGGGGTTCTTAATATTTTGTGTGTAGTCTCTTCTAGGGGGTTCTCAATATTTTTGTGTGTAGAGTTTTCTAGGGGGTTCTCAATATTTTTGTGTGTCTCTTCTAGGGGGGGGGGGTCTCAATATTTTTGTGTGTGGGCTCTTTAAAGGGGTTCTGTTTTTGTTTAGGTGTGTGAAATACATGGCACAGTTTAGAAAATTCCTGTTTGTGTCCTACCAGTGATATCGCTAATAGAGAATAATCTAATGTAAACATTGCAAGCGTTGTTTTTTTTTTTGGGGCTGTGTTATGGAATGTCTTTATACTTTAGACAGAGGGTCTATGTGGGTCATGGACACATATTTTAGACAGACGTAGTCAAGTTTTATAGTTCAAATCTGTGTCTTTAGTCTATAGACAATATTAATCTATCTTTATACTTAGATATCGGCATAAAAAAGTCTTTAAATCGTGTTTTTTTTAAATTTTAAAATGTTCTTAAAATCTCGATTCACTGAGAAATGTTGGACAAATAAAATGTAAACACGTGAAGTGGTGCAGTTTCGAAATGTGTTAACAAATGTGTGAGGTTTTGCTAGTTTTCACAAAATAATACGACTATAGAAACAATCTCGATACAGTTATTGATAAATTATGTAAATCCACAATATTTAACTTAAGCAATGAGGAATTTTTAACGCAATATGTTTCTTGTGAAATGTAAACAAAAAGTAGTTTGATGCGTTAAATTAACCGGTAAACTGCCTGCGTAATGGCTGATATTTTTATAATAAGTTTTTATTTTTATTTTGAATATTATTTAATTTTTCCATGTCTAAACTAAATTTTTTTCAAAAAAATATTATTTTACTAGTTACAATTTGTATTTTATATTTTAAAAAAAAGATATGGCGACAACATTGTTGATGGATGTCTTTCATTATTATGATCATGCTCAAGGCCCATCGAAACTTCTCTACCAACCTTTTAAGCAACCTCTGACTATCAACAGCAACGCATTAAATACCAACGCCAACCCCAAAACGCCAACCCCAGGAATGTTTCACCTCCTACAGATTTAGAAAACATTCTTAATGAAAACGTAACAAACGTGATTCTGTCCTAGATTACACCAGTCTCTTAATTAGAAAAAAATATCATTAGCAAGGTTAATTAGAGTGAGATAGTTGTCAGGTACCGTGGGAAAATGTGAAAAATGATGATAATCAAGCTAATTAACAAAAGATACCGTTGCATGAGAGAGAAAAAAACATTGTAAAATTAAGTTATTTTTGTATTCAGCTAGAACAAGTTTGGGTTAAGTTTAAATCTAGAATGAAGGTTGGAGTGAATGTAAGGATTATGAAGCTAGAGTTATGTTTACGTAGGTTGTGTTGTTGTATTAAACCAAACGGGTTAGCCATTATTCGGTCTAGAACATAACAGGGTAAGAACTGAAAATTATGACTGGTCTAGAACATAACAGGGTAAGAACTGAAAATTATGACTGGTCTAGAACATAACAGGGTAAGAACTGAGAATGATGAAAGTTATACGGTGGTACTTTTAAACGAAAACTTTGTAACACTACAACTAAGAACTCGATTTCAGCCATTTTGCTTTGGCTAAACTTACGGTATCGTACTGTCCAGGATCGTTTCCTACGGGATCGTATCGTCCAGGGGATGAAATGTCCGGAGTCATATTGTCCGGGATCGTATCGCTCAGAATTGAATTGTCCGGGCTCTGTATAGTTTAGGATCGCATTGTCCTGGGTTTGTATCGTTTAGGATCGTATCGTCAGGAATCGTATTGTCCGGGGTTCGTATCGTCCGGAATCGTATTGTCAGGGGCTTGTATCGTACGGGATCGTATCGTTCAGAATCGAATTGTCCGGGGTCTGTATTGTTTAGGATCGTATCGTCCGGAATCGTTTAACCCGGGGTATGTATCGTCCGGAAACGTATCGTCTTGAGTTTCTATCGTTTGTGGGTCAAATTGTACGGGTTCGAATTCTAAGGGGTCGAATTGTCTAGGACCGTATCGCTCAGGGATTGTAATTTCCGGGGGTCGGATTGTTCGGGGTCGTATCGTCCGCGGTCGCACAATCAGGGGTCGTATAATAAGGGGCGGTACACCCGGGGTCGCAATGCTCGTAAAAAATACCCCTAGACGCCTGATGTGAAGTAAACTATCCGTACCTGATCTATTTGTTACGGGATATTATGTAAGGCTGGGCGCTTAGCAAATCAAACATGTATGTTTTTTGTTATCATGTTTGGGGTAAAATTTATGATCACTTCAACATTTACAGGCGCCGGTGTAGTGTGCGAGGGTTGAGATAAAATAAATTTTTATTGAGGTTCCATTTTCAGACCTAACGATCCATACGGCAGATGAAGTAGATCTTTTTACGTTTCTTGACTTCGGATTATGAGTGGATGGTTTGTTCGGCACTATGCCCAGCTGCCTTTACTTTCACTAACGTGAGTCAGGTACCCATCATAGCACGGTAGAATAAGGGACGCTCTACAGACAAAAAAATACTATGGTAGGGAGATGATTCGAGGCAGAAATTCAAGATCTTTGTGACGCTATGTGACAGGGGGGAGGGGGGATGTTGTCAAGTGGTAGAGCGTTTGGCTGCTAGTTTGAAGGTCTCGAGTTCGAATCCAGGTATGACGTCCCTGAATCTACCCAGCTCTATTGGGTACCTGGCTCACGTTAGGGTAACAAGGGCGGCTAACGACATTGTATCTTCTTGAGTGCCAGGGTAAATTAAACAGATGAACTCTACTTCATCTACCTCATGTGTCTTGGGCACGAACGGGAAACGATGATAGGGTTAGGTAAATGTGACTTTTCATTAATTTTCTTTGTTTCGAAAGGAAAAATGGTATAAAGTGGAGATGTTACTTTTTAAAAGAATTGTACAGTGGGACGGCGTGGCCTGGTGTTAGAGCGCTGGACTGTCCGAAGGTTATGATTTCGAATCAGGGTTCAATTCAGTAGAACTTCCTTGAATCGACCCAGCTCTGGTGGGCAGAGGCGTAGCGAGGGGAGTTGGAAAAATAAATTGAAAGCTTGGGGGTGCAAATCGAAATCTTGAGGGGGGTGCAAATCGAAAGTTTGAGGGGGGTGCAAATCGAAATCTTGAGGGAGGGGTGCAAATCGAAAGTTTGTCCCCGGGCGCCGGGAAGGGTCGCTACGCCTCAGCTGATGGGTACCTGACACACGTTAGGGAAAGTAACGGTGGCTGGGCATTTTGTTGACCACAATATCCCTTCACATGCCGAGGTCACTGAAATAGGTGAACTCTACTTCACTTGCCCCGTCGACCGTCCAGTTCGAAAAGGTAACTTGCATTTTTAGGGGTACAACTTTATCTGGCTTTTGTGATGATATTTGATAATGGGGTGGATACAAAAAGATCATGTCGACATCTATGGAACTTTCCCCATTTCGCTTTAAACCTAAACACTATGAACAGTATTTACACTTGACAGATCCTATGCAAACACTTTACAGAATAGCGCACTATACCGTGAGCCGTATTTATTTTGTGAGTCAAGTACTGTTAGTCTAGTTGCCGAAAGTTTTATTAAAACTAGCAAACTACTGAACATGAGGCACAATAATAATAATATGTACTATGTAAAAATGTATTGTTTTGAATTTGATAGTTTAGAATCTACCCTTGTGATAGAAAAAAAAAAAACAAGATACATGCATAATATCCAGATACGTCATTGCAGGAAATATTATTTTACCGATACAATCATCATTCATGTATCAAAATTTCACTCAAAATACAGTTGTAGTGTTTTAATTTTAAGAAACAATTGAAATCAGCCAGTTTTGTCTATAGGCTATATTTATGATTTATGATATAGATCTAATGGGAGCTTAAATGTTAAACTCAAAACAGAAAAACAACTAATTTCTTATGTTATAATAGGCCCCTAAAAGTAGATTGAGACGTTACTAATTGGCTATTTTTTTTATTAGCATATGCCTACTTGAAATCAACATTAAGTGTCGTAACCTTAACACACTATTAGACTAACTTAAACTCGAAGCTTAACTAGATTTTAAAACTTAATCTAGACATTGTAGAACTAGATTCTAGATCAAGATTTATACAGTAAATCGCATTTTTTTTCTGTTATTAAATTTATAAAATAATAAGAAAATTACAATTAATATTTATTGAATTTGTGCATTTAACTCTATAAGTGTGATGAAATTAGATAAATTATAAAACTATGATTTATCATTTGACTACGGTTATGACTGTATGACTAATTAATTAATACTAATTATTTACTAACTAATTAGTGTGTAATAAGTTTAAGTAATAATAAGCAATATATTTTAATATAAACTGTGAGCTATGCACTTACCCCCAACTTTTCGGAACTAGATTCTAGATCTAGATCTAGATTTCTAGATCTAGATTCTAGATCTACTTTAAATTCACATTTAGTAGATCCGTCCTGAATGTTAGATCTATTTGTTTAAGGGAAACAACTTTTGCTGCAAACAAGTAGTCCAATGTTTGTTAAATAATCGACAACAGAACGCTACTGCTACACAGGAGCCTTACACACTTACATAACTGAATGGGCTGTCCTCATTGAATGCAGTGTCTTTACCTGTCTAGACAGACTTGGATTGGATCTCGTAATCGAAAAAAAAAAACACAGTTACGCTCCCAAACTCATCAACGATTTCGTCGAAACAATGTGTCACTGTCCTTCCCCTCTTTCGTATTTTAAGTCCCAGGTATTTGGCACTGTGCGGGTTTCTGTTAGAAGCGAGAATCCTTCACAAATACGACCGAGACTAGCGTTTTCGCCAGGGAAGAAAAAAAAACAACACTCAATTGACAAACATCCAATCTAGCAAACGGGAAAAGCCGATCAAAAAAAGCCCACGGCGTTGTAGGCCTAGTTTTATTTTTTTCTGGGCCAAAAGTTAACAGACGATACCGGTGTGCGAACAGCAGATGTCCCCGGTAAAAAGTATCCTAGGTTGATGTGTTGCGTCGGCGGTTGAACAAACATTCGCGCATTTGGGCTTGGGTTTTACGGTCCGGGGTCGACTTTGTACCCCGTGAGGTTTTTGTAAGAGGATGTGTTTGGAGTGGCAGAGTCGATTGTCAGTCATGGCCTACACATCGCACGGTGTTGGCACGCAGTTAAAGTGTCAACAGCTGAGAATCGTCCTTTCGCCATCGGTATTCGATACCGCCCTCCAGATTTTTAATGCGATTTTAAATAAAAAATTATTTTATGCCCGGGTCGTGTTTTAATTATTGGGTGTATACATATCAAGTTATTTATTTTTTTATTTTTTAGTTGCGAATTTAAATTCCAATTTTATTTTTTACAAAGAAATAAAAGACAGACGTTGAATACATAAGTGTCATATATTAAAGTATCAAACTATACAGATAAAAGGATAATTACATAGCCATAAAAGCCGTCCATAAAAATAAAAAAAATATCCTTTAAGTTTCTCCAAAATTATTGAGTTATTTCCCCTCACACTCAGTGTAACAACTAAATAAAACTATTTTAAAAAAACACTGAAATCATAATATTTAAAATGCACTGAATAGAACAAACATATTTTCTTTTGTAGAAACATTGGTTGCTAAAAGTTGTAAAATATTTCATGAGGGGACAAATCTTTTATTGGGATATCTTATTTTCGCTCGTTTTAAACTTGTTATCTCCCTTTTATTGTTCATTAGAATTATATATTGTTGTGTTGAATGTATCTGGAAACGAAATAGCTGACTTAGAGTAAGTAAAGTTCCCTTTTGAAATATGACGGTCGATGGGTCTAGTGTAGTAGAGTTATTCTTTTTCTATGACCCCACTATCCCTTCGTATGCCGAGACCACAGAAACAGATGAACTCTACTTGCCCCATGGACCGTCTGGTTTGAAAGGGAACTTTACGTGAGTGGACAATCCAGAGGAAAATATATTGATGCGAAGTCCTAAGTTATCAATGTAAGGCTAGGTACTACACAGTTCTTGATGTCAGTTTCACAAGAAGACATTAAATTATCGTCAAGTTCAAATTAAACAGGATTAATGAATTTACCAAGGCAAGACTTCTTACAGCTTAGTATACGATTATAGTTAAAAGGATTACGACTGTTAACCCGAAAGTCTCGAGTTCGAATCCCGAGTTTGAGTCTGTAGAACGTCCTTGAGTCCACTCAGCTCTGGTGAGTACCTGACTCTCGTTAGGGTAACTAACGCAGCTGGGCATAGTGCTGACCACTCACTTTAAGCAGCGCGGCTGTGATGTAGCTGTAAACCAGCCGCGCAATCATTTTGTAAATACCTAAGCCACTGTGTCAATACTTTAAAGTATCGCGCACAAGTCAATAGAACGTCGCTGAGTCCACCCAGCTCTGATGGGTACCTAACTCACGTTAGGGAAAATAAAGGCGGTTGGGCATAGTGATGACCACACTATCTCTTCAAATGCCAAGGTCACAGAAACAAGTGAGCTCTACTTCACTTGCGCCGGAGATCGTCAGGTTTGAAAGGGAACTGTACTTTTTTTTTTTTTACCGCGCACACAAAATACTTTGCACAAGAGCTTTTGCTTCATAAGGGTAATATTGCTGACCACATTACCCCCTTGAACGCCGCGTCCATTAAAAGAGACGAACTCTACTTTATTTGCCCCCAGTGTTTCATCTAGACATTTTTCTCCGGGGGGGGGGGGGGGGCGCACTTGAAATTTTCGGGGGGGGGGGGGCGCGGTAGACTTTTGTCGTGGGGGGGGGGGGGCGCCTAGGATACCACGGGACCCATGATTACTGGCTGTGGATAGAGAAACACAAATGGATGTGTGCATTGGCTTTGAAAGTTTGTATTTATTGGCTCAATAACTAGCTTCTCTTTATTTGTAGTTTAATCGTTCAGCATGGGCTACAAACACAGAATACTTAGTAATAGATGGAGATTTTATATACAGTGGCGTAGCTAGGATTTTGTCATGGGGATTATTAAAAAAAAAAAAACTAGACACACGTACACGAACACACACGAGCACATGCATGCGCGCATACACCAGCTTACTACTAGATCTAGATACAACTGAATACAGTAAATTTCTAGAAGTATGAAGCTAGTATAGATATATAAAAAAAAACATAAACATTAGTTGCACATCAAGTAAAAATTTATTTTTAGGTTAGCCGTACCCATATTACACTATTGTTGAGCCTATGAGCAATGGTAACATGCTTAAGTTAGATCTAGAATCTAGAATCTCCAACACGATCTTCACACTGATATGCACTATGTACGCGAGTTAATAAATTAACTAGGTTTTAAGTTATTAAATATCGTTACCAGGGCTAAAAAACTAATATAATATCAGAACGGCAAATATATTTAAAATATCTTGAGAAAACTGGAAATTTTATATAACTTACAGTTGTTGAGGAATATTAGTCCCGTTAAATCTCTTGTTTAGATGGATACAATCTCCTCCTGTGGTTTACACCCCAACCTTTTACGTGCCACTGGTAGCGAAGTATAGAGGAACCCATGTGACAGAAGAGGGAAGTGTTAAATACAGCAAGGGGGAACAAGGAAAAGTGGGCGTATCAGCATGGGAGGGGGGAGGGGGTAGATTGAGGATTGTTTTGCTACAAAGATCGAGCGGATCAAAGAAAGAGCCACGCTTGCAGCCACGGCCCCCGTGGTCAGCTGTCCTTTGTTAACATGGGGGTGGGGGTGGGGTGATGGGCCCCCTGCCAGGGTCGGCACGTGGAGGAAAACAGATGATACCGACCTTGGTGGGGGGGGGGGGGGACTGACCAGGTGAACTTTTGACCATGACCATATCGTTACCGCCCCCCCCCCCCTTCGACTCACCGCGGCGAATCAATTTGGGGTCTAGGGATGTGCCATAACAAACAGAAAATAGAAAAACAAGTTTGAGTTAATATTTTCGGAGATTAATAACGTAAAGGCGTATCGACGCAAAATAAATAAAAACAGTTTTGGGGGTTGATACATTTTTATGAAAAGGTAAAGTTCACTACCAGATTTTAACTTATAGTTATGGTCAATAATTCTAGCCCTCATACACCTATACGATTTTTTTAGTTCTTCGTTATATTTACGCTATAATCATCTCGTGTAGTTGTTATGGTCAGTTCAGCGACAGGTATTTTCACACTAGGATTGACGTGGTTTTGTCGACTTGGTAATAGAAACAGACGGCTGGGCAAGTGGACACATGCTCATTTTGTAGCTTGATCTACTATCTTCACTTGTAACTAACAATTCCTCTCCGACAACACACAGGTGCTTATTTTTGGAAGGGGTGTCGGGTACCCACGGGTAATAAACAGGTACCCACGGGTAATAAACGGGGAACCCACGAATAGTAAACAGTTACCCACGGGTAATAAACGGGTACCCAGGGGTAATAAACAGGTACTCACGGTTAGTGAACGGGTCCCCACGGGTGATAAACGGGTACCCATTGAAGAAAAGAATTACATTGCGGCCCGCATTTCCGGCAATCAAACACCTTTTATCGGGAACTCACCGTTGAGTGATTTACTCATCGACCATGCCGTTATAAGTATTCACTTGTCCTTTATGGTTAGGGTAAAAATTTAGGCATAAGGGTTTCTTCACTTACGTTTGTATATTTCGTATAATTATTTTTTGTCGATATGGTTGTTTTTGTTCAAATTGATTTGAAAGAAAATATTCAGTTGAATCCATGTTATGCCCCCCCCCCCCCCACACACATATCCTTTCATACGAGCATAATCATTACATATCCTTCCACCATAGCAAATCTTGAATCTTGAGAAAATATCACAAATCCAGCCATATAATCTATAGAATATTTAATGATTGATTAAAGTGGCCTATTCAAGAGCGGAATCAGGCGGTCAGACATAGATCTTTAATAAATATATGCACATTAATTTAGTCCCCTTTGGTTCCCCCCTCCACCCCCCGTCTCGACTAATACCCAGACTCCCCCCCCCCCCCCTCTTCCTCACATCACCTCAAACTGCGTAACATCGTCTGCGACAATGACGTCGCTAGGTCGGGTGTCAATGTCGAGGCACTTCTTGATGTCCACCCCATCCCGGTCCTTGAATGACATATAAATTATTGAAAATATTCAACTAAACTTTTATTTCTCCTGTAAATTTAGCAGTTGGTGTCACCCCCCTCCACCCTTCGGGTGACAGCTTTAAATTGCAATAGTAACGATGCTTATCCATAGTAGGTTATCAATATACCTGGATGTAGCATTGTCTTTTCTCTATAGTGAGTCTATAGTTAGCATGTATACCTCATGGTGTCACACCCCGCACACCTATCCCCCCACCCCCCCCCCCCCCACCCCTTGTCGGGATCTTCAATTTGTACGTAAAATACTTTTTAAAAAAAAAAAACAAAAACCCTTATTTATTTTCAATTGAATTAGCAAAAAGTATTTTCTTTTGCATATTTTAATTTTCTCGTCTTGGTTTGTTTAACATTAGGCCCTATTTCCTGCTAGTTGTCTAAGGGAACATAATCACAATAATTCCCTAAAATGGTCCACATTATCTCCCCTTGCGCACCACTTTCTATCAACTGACCCCGCTACAAAAGGGTCAGTTCACCCTGAGGTTGTAATGGTCAGTTCGACGACAGGTGTTTTCACAGTAGGATTTGACGTGGTCTTTTCCACCTGAAAATAGAAACAGAGGCTGGGCAAGTGAACCCCTGCCCTGAGTTGGGCGTGGTTTTTGAACAAAAGCAAGTCAGCTGTGAGCGCGGTAACTAATGCAGGCCTATTTCCTTGGTTAGACACACCGGATAAGAAAGGGTAATAA